TCGGCGGGGAGGGGGCCGTAGGCAAGCCCGAGCCCCCGGAATCTGCCCGGGAGGCTGCTGGGGGGGGCGGGCCATGGGGGTGGCAGGGACCGAGCTGCCCGGCGGCAATGTTAGCGCCAACCAGAGCGCCACCGACCCCACTCTGTCGCGGGATGTGTGGATGGTGGGCATGGGGATCCTCATGTCGGTGATCGTGCTGGCCATCGTCTTCGGCAACGTGCTGGTGATCACCGCCATCGCCCGGTTTCAGCGCCTGCAGACCGTCACCAACTATTTCATCACCTCGCTGGCCTGTGCTGACCTGGTGATGGGGCTGGCCGTGGTTCCCTTTGGCGCCTGCCACATCATCATGGAGATGTGGAAGTTTGGGAACTTCTGGTGTGAGTTCTGGACCTCCCTGGATGTGCTTTGCGTCACAGCCAGCATTGAGACCCTCTGCGTCATTGCCGTGGACCGGTACTTCGCCATCACCTCCCCTTTCAAGTACCAGAGCCTGCTGACCAAGAGCAAGGCACGTGTGGTCATCCTTGTGGTGTGGGTAGTCTCAGCCCTCACCTCCTTCTTGCCCATCCAAATGCACTGGTATCGGGCAGACCGTGATGAGGCCATTCTGTGCTATGAGAAGGAGACATGTTGTGACTTCTTCACCAACCAAGCCTATGCCATTGCCTCGTCCATCATCTCCTTCTACCTGCCCCTTGTGGTCATGGTATTTGTGTATGCCAGGGTCTTCCAGGTGGCCAAGAAGCAGTTGCAGAAGATAGATAGGAGTGAGGGGAGGTTTCACATCCAGAACAAGGAGCAGGAGCAGAAAGGGGGAGCTGGGCACCGCCGTTCCTCCAAGTTCTTCTTGAAGGAGCACAAGGCCCTCAAGACTCTGGGCATCATCATGGGCACCTTCACCCTGTGTTGGCTGCCCTTCTTCATCGTTAACATTGTGCACGTCATCCAGGACGACATCATACCTAAGTACGTGTACATCCTCTTGAACTGGCTGGGGTATGTCAACTCTGCCTTCAACCCTTTGATCTACTGCCGGAGCCCCGACTTCAGGTACGCCTTCCAGGAGCTCCTGTGCCTCCGCAGGTCTGCCCTGAAGATGTATGCCAATGGCTACTCCAACAGCAACGGCAGGAGCGACTACAACGAGGAGGACAACGGCTACCCCCTGGCATCGGATAAAACCCGCGAGTTGCTCTGCGAAGAGGGCTCCTTCCCTCACCCCGAGGATTTTTTGCACTGCAAAGGTACTGTGCCTTGTGGGTAGCTTTGGGACGTGATGGGCTCTGGTGTGGCACACTTCTGTTATTAAGAGGCACCTTTTTCTGTAAGGGATAACAGAGCAGATAACAGTAACAGTCATCTAGAGCACACCTAAAATCTAATGGCTGCAGGAAACCCAAAACTCAGCAAACATTCTGCAAACAGGCAGGGTCAGGTGGGCTTCTTGCCTCTACCTATTTAGAGGCATGACTGAGGGGCCGTGGAGCATCAGTGGGGGGTACTTAATTTAAGGCTGTGCAGAAGACTCGTCCCTGGAGGAAGTTTCTGCCCGCAGCCGATGTTAACTACCTCAGGACCCCACTGTTCGGAGCCGCTGCGGGAGCGGGACCGAGGGAAACCGCGGGGGTCCGCCCCGGGTCCCTTCTCATAACGGCGCCGGCGGCCGTGGGACTCCTCCCGCAGGTGCCAGTTAGTCCCAGTTCAGGGGACTGTGCGGAGGTGGCACCCTGGGACAAAACCCCCGGGGAGGGGATGGTAGGAGCGGGACTGAGCCGGAGCGGGGACTGGGCAGGGCAGGGTCAGATCCGCGGCTGTCGCATTCAGTGGGACAGTTTAAACAACGGCCAGAAACAAGGAATATTTGGTGGATTTTTGTTTGGTTGGTTTTTTTCCAGGTGCTGTAGTACTTTTTGCTGAAATAGTAATAGAAATAAATGGAGCACCGGCAGGAGCGACTACAACGAGGAGGACAACGGCTACCCCCTGGCATCGGATAAAACCCGCGAGTTGCTCTGCGAAGAGGGCTCCTTCCCTCACCCCGAGGATTTTTTGCACTGCAAAGGTACTGTGCCTTGTGGGTAGCTTTGGGACGTGATGGGCTCTGGTGTGGCACACTTCTGTTATTAAGAGGCACCTTTTTCTGTAAGGGATAACAGAGCAGATAACAGTAACAGTCATCTAGAGCACACCTAAAATCTAATGGCTGCAGGAAACCCAAAACTCAGCAAACATTCTGCAAACAGGCAGGGTCAGGTGGGCTTCTTGCCTCTACCTATTTAGAGGCATGACTGAGGGGCCGTGGAGCATCAGTGGGGGGTACTTAATTTAAGGCTGTGCAGAAGACTCGTCCCTGGAGGAAGTTTCTGCCCGCAGCCGATGTTAACTACCTCAGGACCCCACTGTTCGGAGCCGCTGCGGGAGCGGGACCGAGGGAAACCGCGGGGGTCCGCCCCGGGTCCCTTCTCATAACGGCGCCGGCGGCCGTGGGACTCCTCCCGCAGGTGCCAGTTAGTCCCAGTTCAGGGGACTGTGCGGAGGTGGCACCCTGGGACAAAACCCCCGGGGAGGGGATGGTAGGAGCGGGACTGAGCCGGAGCGGGGACTGGGCAGGGCAGGGTCAGATCCGCGGCTGTCGCATTCAGTGGGACAGTTTAAACAACGGCCAGAAACAAGGAATATTTGGTGGATTTTTGTTTGGTTGGTTTTTTTCCAGGTGCTGTAGTACTTTTTGCTGAAATAGTAATAGAAATAAATGGACGGTTTGCCCAGAATGTGAAACTCTGACTGTGGGACTTAGGAATGTGGTACTGGGAAGTTGGGTGAAACGCTGCTACAGCCACAGACCATCTTTTTGTTAAGGCTCCAAGCAAAGCTTTTTGGCTGCCCGGTTTGTTTAACTTCGTCTGGAATGACAGTGAGCCCGAGGAGGTGGGAAGGGAGATGTTTGATTTTCTGTGGCAGACTGGCAGCACAGCCCTGGCCGCAGGACGGCTCTAGGTTGGTTGGTTTGCGTGTAGAAGGTTTTTCCCCTGCGGCAAGCTTTGCATTTTGTTCCCGGCTTGCAAGAGTTGGCGGCGGGCGCGCAGGGCTGTCAGGGGGCAGCAGACACGGGCAGGCAGGTGTGGGCTGAGGGACGCCACGGAACGGGGACAGAGGTGGCACTGCTGCCCCCGGCTTGCTCAGTGCACGTCCTTACCTGGCGGAAAGAGGCAATCGGGGTGGGAGTGGAGTTGCCCCCCCTTCCCTCGTTCTCTTCACCTGCGGGTGCTGTGTGAGAGGCTGGACCACGGGGACGTGCAAGTGCGCGTTTTTTTCAAGAGCACTCGGGAGACGTGGGGGGCAACAGTGCTGACGGGACCTATGGGCGTTCCAAGGGGCCTTGGTGACCTGAGAGGGGATGCTCGGGGTCACAGTGTGTGTGTGTGTGTCTCTTCCCACCGCTCCCCTTCTCCCCGCGCGATCCCCCGCAATTCCACATACCTTCCCTGCACCGCGGGGGTTTTGCTCGTGCTGCTGCTGGGGACGTGTCGCGGTCAGTTTGGGAATCGGTGAGTTCCCGGCAGAGTTGGCTTTGCAGATCAGTGGGGTGACCAGATACTCGGAGTTACCCGGAGCTGAGTCCCCATGGGGTGTCACCCCCTGCTGCAGGCGGCAGAGGAGCTTTGGGCAGCGCGGCAAGGGAGCTGGGGAGGTCGGAGTCTGGGAGGGAGAATGGAGCAGTTTCTGACTGCCGACACCTCTTTGCAGTCCCTGTTTGGTCCTGGCTCTCACGGGTGCTCTTAAGCACCCAAGCGCTGGTGCCTAAAGGGGCTGCCCCGGGCAATGATGAAGGGGAACCCCCCCTGGAACGGTAGTGCAGGGGGGCTGGGGAAGGAGTGTGGGAATTGCTTCTGAGATCTCTGCTGCGGCTTCCGCAAGGTGCAGCGCAGCGACAAACTGCTCTTCGAGCTTTCACGCCCCTCGCGGTAAAACCCCCACCTGGCTTTTGTGGGGCTGGGGTCTGAAAACTCCTAGTGCTTCTTTCTTTCCCGAAACGATCCTGATCCTGCTTGGAAAGGTTGCTGGGAACGAGGATCAGCTGTAAGAGCCCTCTCCTCCTCTAGCCTAGTGACGGGTCCTGGCTCAGCTCCGCTCGCAGCTCAGCACTACAGCAGAGGTAGGGAATGTGCCCCAGAGCCCTCCCCTCTTGCTGCTCGCTGCCTGCTTTGCTGCCTGCGCCTGGCACTGCCCTCCCCCGCTGCCTGGGTGGGCTCTCAGCGGTGCCCGAAGCCCCTTGAGCCGCTTGAGCCAAGCGGGGGGTGAAGGCACGGTGCGGTGTGCGAGGTCCCAGGCTGCCAAAATAATTTGCTCCTTAGATAAACATAACAGGCTGTAGGAGCGAGGGGAGACTCAGGATCAGGACTGGCAGTCAGGTGCTGTTTGCTTCGTGATGTACAAGGGCTGAAATGTGAGAGGCTGAAGTGCCGTGTAGTCGGTGTAAGTACAGGTGCTCGGGCTGGAGATGCACTGTAGCTCGGGCCATGCAGCATTTGGGGTAAGTGAAAATTAACCTCTTGATTGTAGCTACCGGTATGTCCCGTGTCCTGTCCCCTGCGTTTTTAATTTCACCAGTCACTTGCTGTATTTTGCAACACCCAGGGGCAGCATAGGTTAGCTAGCAGGTAGGCAGAGCACCAAGGTAGAAGTGGCTCCCAGTGACAGCCAGCTCCTGAATGGGGGGCCCGGCAAGTCTGCAGCAGCCAAATACACACTGGCTTTAGGATAGGAGTCTGCAGCATAAATAAATCCAGTTCCACATTTCAGTTGCTGTTTGTATTTTTACTATAATGAATTATTTGCATGTCAGCAGCACACCAGGACTTTGTTGTCCAAACAATTGCACTATTTCTTTGGCTGGCTATGTTCATACTTCAGATGTTGCTGCTGTCTGTAGCCAAAGCTGAGAGATGAGCAAGTGGATAATTGCAGAACCACTGCAGCATCCAGAGTACGTGGATTTGGAGGGGGCAGGGGACACTGGACTGCTTGCACTGGGCAGTTGACCTCAGTACTGCAATGCTCAGCTACACTGTTAGGAAACATCAGGCTTGTGATGAAGTCTGAGTGTTGAAGAACTGATTTGTTTCTACTGAGGCAATGTTAGTAAAACTGGTGAAATATGAACAGCGTGGTGCTGGGGGCAGCTGGAATCAAAAGACAGAAATATTGGAGGAAAAAATATAGCAATGCCAAAGCAGAACCTGACAAACTTTTCCTGATCCACACTTGAAAGATAAAAGCTATGTAAGGGAATCCTTTGGACTGATAAAATATTTAATAATAAAAAGATTTATATAAATATATATCTATACTCCAGGCATTAAAAAATGGAGCACTGAAGTCAGAACACTAGCTGATTAAATTGATTTTAGGGTACTTAGGGTTTTTACACTAGCAGGCAGCTGGCTCAGGTTAAATACATCTGATAGGAAAATCACTGTGACAAAAAAATAAATTGTTATTGCAAACAGAGCAGGCTGTACTGCCAGCAAGGTGGGCAGAGCACATGTGAGATACTGCCCACCCCCTGGGTGTCAGTGCATAGGGCTAACTGGAGCTTTGCTGTACATTCACTGCTTTTGGCCACTTTGGCCAAAAAGATTGTTATTGGTTTTGAAGTCTTAGTCAAGCTGAGCGTCACAAACACAGCTTTTGTGTTGTTACAAAATATTGTCCTTGCCATAGGTCCTGCTTGTGATTTGGGCAGCTGTAGTTTCCACTTCAGGAACTGTCTTTGCTTTGTCCTCCAAAACAGGCAAAGTATTGGGACCTGCTGAGTTATGTCAGTCCTTTGCCTCTTGGGAGCATTCCTGGAGAGCTTTTGCTTTCTGGGAAGCCCCAGCCTTGAAATATAACCTGCTGCTTGCTCTGGCACTGAGGAGGTGTGGAAATGCAAGGGGAGCTGGTAGGTGGGACAGGATCTGGGTGCAGATCCCCACTGGCAGCTCAGCTTGTACATCACTTGAGAACTGGATATTCCCAAAGCACTTCATATACCAGATTGTTCAGCAATTCCTAATGTGCAGTATTGCCTATCAGTGCACACCATGTTGCTGTGGGGTGTCAGGGTGGGTACATGGAGCTTGACCTCACCTGTGGAGCCAGGTCTGTGCCTGGTGACCTTCCGTGGGGTTCAGGTGAAGGTGGGACCCTGGCCTAAGGACACCATTAAGCAGTGGGTACAGCAGACAGAGAAGGACAAGACTTAAGTTACCAAATGCACCCCAATGTTTGAAAATAGACTAAGGATTAGTAATATAGAGAGCCCAGCTCCTCTGGAGAGTGGGCGGATGCATGAGCAGGCACACGACGTGCTCTTCAGCTCTCCCATGTCACAGCCACTGTGCTTTTCAAATGGCTTATTTATGTATTTATTTACTA